TTTCTTTAATTTTATCCATTAATAAGAGCATCTCCAATTTTTAACTTTTTCTTAATTTTTTATGGACTCACCACTCCGCATTAATTTTCTTTTAATTATTTCTTGTATGTATTACTATTTGTCTATTTGTAATTCACAAAAGTAATTACAATTTTATAATTTATAATTTAGTTAAACCCATCAATTAAACATATATATAAATGCATCAAAGAAATGCTTGTTAATTGGTGACCATTGCGCCCAAAGGGTGCCTCCACTTGCAATTTAAAAAATAAATAAATTAATTAAAATTTAACCGTAAAATCTGAACTCTTGATTTTTGCCACTTGGATACATACCGCTGATTAAAAAAAATAATTCTCCAAAGGTAATTTTTTAGTCAACATAAAAATTACTTTAAAACTTCTCATAGCAATAAAATTTATACATAATCTCTTTTAAAAAGATCTGATATTATTTCCTTCTCTCTCATTTCCTATCTTTTTAAAAAATTTATATAATAAATATAATCTTTTTTTTTTTAATGTTACTGGCCCTATTACATTGTAGTATAAAAAAAATGCTTCATTAAGTATATGGGACCCAAAATAAAGATTTCAATGGCCGCTTAATTGATGGAAGGACATAGTTACAAGTCAAAGGCACTAATAACGTTTAGAAGCCACATTATATCACTAAGTGGCTTAAAAGTGTTATTGAATTGGATACTAAATAGTGCAATTGAAATTGAGGATATTACAATTGAATTTTTTGAACTGAAAAAAGTTATATAAAAAAAACTTTAAATTGACAAAAAATACCATTAAATTCAAACAGTACATTTTCAGTATATTATGCCTGATATGACTAACATGTATCCTTCTTACATTTATAACAAAAAAAAAAGTATTGTTGCTGCTATACCAGACTTTATACAAAACTCCCATGTGAATAGAAATACTTAAAATGTATAATAACCTTTTTTTTCCCTTAAAAATTCTATACATTGCATTAATTATTTAAGACAATATTAATATATGAGATTAATTTTCCTCAAAATGTTGAAATTCAAATAAAAATTAAATTTTTAATAATATTATTTATATTGGCGGGCCTCTAATTTTCTACCCTCCTTGACCTTTTTGGGTGGTGGGTTGGGGCTATCCAATGGGGTAAACCAGTTTTGATAGTTCTAATAGTTAGGAAAATAGAAAATGATAAGGATAAATGTAAAAAAAATGTTATAACTATCCAAGAAAGTAAGCAAGATGCATAACTTAATATTGCAAACAATTAAGTCAACATGCATGGTTGCTGAAAAGTGGGGCACCTCTGGGGAATATATCTAACTTGGTAGATGAATGCAAGATAGAGCTCGCCTAGGATTGGGATTTGGGAGGCTAAGATGCACAATGTGTGTTGTAAACAAAATAGAGTTTTTAATGTTCAATCTGGTGAGAAGTTCGATTTAGAAAGCTTATGAATTGTGTGTTTGAAGGTCATTTAGATGTCTTCTGACTTAAAAGAATTATTATTTTATTGGAATGTTAATGGAGTTCTCTTAAATTTTATTAAAAAGAAAACAAACAAACAATCAGCCAATTCAACATATCTTTTTATTTTCATTAAAATACTACCTTCATTGATTTTTATATATTTTAGTAGTTTACTCTTTTCTATTAATTTACAAAGCATATGCTTTAATATATGTTTTTCTTGATGGTGTCATGGTGACAACAATTATTATATTATGGTGATATGTTTGGAGTTTTGGACGTTCATCATTCCAAACACCACGTTGGACACACAGCATACACAACTCTTTTTTCTTTTCTTGTTTTTGGTATTTTTTTTTTTTTTTTTGGTTAATCCTCTTCAGAAAAGAACCTTAGTGAAAATAATAATAAATTTTAATGAAAATATTAATCATATAGATCGACCAACTCGCCAGTCAAAATTAAATAGTCCGTCACCTACCGTTTGCACGTGAAAGTTGTTGAGACCATAGAGGTTAAATTTTATTCCCTCGTGAGAAATTTAAACATTAAAAAATAGAAAAAGATCAAATAGGTCATCGAACTTTAATTGAAAAGTCAATTAGCCTTCTAAATTTTTTAAAGGCGCAATTATACTCATCAACAACTTATTTTGGTGCAATGAAGTCCAAAAACAAGTTAATGACCTGCTATCACAGGTCACTAGAGTTCCGGTCACCCTCTGACAAAATTTCTGGTAAAAAAAAGTGATCGGCGACCAACGAACTGGCGCTGGTCACGGAGAAGACACCAAGGTCGCTTTCTCCGTGGAGAAGGCGGCCCAGTGGTCGCTTCTCGCTGGAGAGGCGACCCAGATGTGGTTGAAAGTAATGTACAATTGTACAATTATAAAAATACAGATAAAAAAATATTAATACCATAATGACCTAAATCATTTCATATAATGCAAAAGCTAATTAAAATATTGAGTCTTGTTCTAAATAATCAAAAGAATATTAATTAAACGAAAAAAAAATTAACCTAGATTTGTTTTAAAAAAATGCAGGAAAATGATTTTCAATGTTTCTTATTTGTAATCTTTTATGTTCAACTTTAAATGCTATTTATATAGTTTGGCTAATTAATTGACCAAAGTTTATGTTAAATTTTATATTGTATTAATATTATATGTTCAACAATTATGATAGCTCTGATTGGGATGGAGTTTTCGAACCTATTTATAGAAATCAATGAGTAAGTTAAAAATAATAAATAGTTAATAGAATATTCCGTTACACTGACAAAATGTAGGGGTATTTAGGAAAAATAAATGATATAGAGTATTTTTTTTTTTTGAAATAAAAATAGAGAGTAAAGTAGGAAAAATAATAATAATAATAATAATAATAATAATAATAATAATAATAATACTAAAATCAAAATAATATGAATCATTTATTTCAACAAACAATTAGACCAATAATTTTTAGTTCACGTTACATAGGTATAACTTTATTGGCTCTTATTAGATTATTATTACTACTTACCACACGCGCATTGCGCGAATAGTTTAATGCCCAATGTGTATTTTTAAATTAGTGTTTTAGAATTTATCAAAATATCATTCAGTATCCTAACGTATATTAATACAAGATTATCAATTTTTTCATAAAAGTTAATATTTCAAGAATGCATAGCTATGACATATGGCAGAAATGTTGGATTAACTGGTGCAATAGCAATTTTAGAGGGAAACACACTCACTGGATAATACCCAAGCATCATTTTTGCAACACAAAACACTATTAATTGGTGTGATCCATGCTTCCTCTTGTTGCCACTTTCACCAGAAATGAATTCTTGATTTGATCTGGTCCCCTGTCGTTCTTCACTGCAGTTTTAGTGTCTTGGCACAATGCACCTTCAAAAACATAACCAAACCATCCTTCACATAAAAGACAATTATAATAGGCATTGTTTCTCATCTGCATTGAATATATACTGTAAATTAGGTGTACCGTTTCATCAATGCCCAATGCATGCATGATTCTAATTAATTAACCAAATTAAAGTTCATGTTAAATTTTATATTGTATTTTTTTAATATACTCTAACATATTCATAGTATATGTTTAACAATTATATCAATCTTGATTGGGATGGGGTTCGAACCTAAAACCTTCCTTATGAAATTTAATAAGTTAAGAATAATAAATTGTTAACAGAATATTCCATTATTAAAATTTATATTATATTGATAGAATGCAAATGTATTTAGGAAAAATACATGATAATAGAGGGTAAAACATAAAAATTAATAAAAAAGACTAAAATCAAAATGATATAAACTATTCATTTTAATAAATAATTATATTAATATTTTTTTAATTTTTGTTAGAAGCCTAATTTTATTGGCTCTCATATTAGATTTGTAGAACGAAGAATAGATACTTCGTAGCATAGAATTAGGTATAATATTTAGTAGAAATTTAATCAAAATAGCATTTTGTTGTGTCAAATTTGATTCGTTATTATTAACGTGGTCTATTTATGACTATTTTATTTGGCCGAATTAATACGTGCCACAATGAGGAAACAGAACATGCCTACCAGACAAGTTAGCAAAGTTTGTTATATCTATCATTTCCCTATTCATAATATTTTAAATTTAACTATTACTCCGTATTTAAGAGTGTGTATGAAAATTGTTGAATTGTTAAGTATAAACTTTCATTATATTAAGTTAAAAGATTTATTAGAGTTATTGAAATATTCGGCATTTACTATTAGATTATCAAAATCAAATTATTAATTTAATTTTTTTCTTACTTGACCATTTTTATATTACAACATAATTTTCTCATATTTTCATAATCAAAATATTATTGTATTATTTAAAGAAAAAAATTAAAACGATAAATTATTCGTACTCATTCATAAATAAAACCTAGACATATCCAACATTTCATCTAATTTGATCATTAATACGGAGTATAAATAAAATATAAGATTTGATCGATGAATTGATTTCGTGAGTCGAGATTTATATCAACAAATGTTTTAGAGATAGAGTTTGATAAGTTTAGGATTAACTTCATAAAACTGGTATCACGTAAGTTAAAAAAAGAAAAATTAAAAAAAAAATAGGACAGACAAAAAGAAATTTTTGAAATTGAGGCTTAAATTCGGTGCACAAAAATAATTTCACTTTGATTTCTGAAGTAAAGAATCTTAGGAAATATCAAATTTCCAGCATCCTCGTATTACACGTGACCCATCCGTGCGGTGCACGTGCCTATTCCTTATTAATTTTATCAAATTATTATGAAGAAAAATGATTAGTGTGGTTGTTGCAAAATATAAAATCTAAATTTTGTTGAAAAAGAAAAAAAGAAAATGTAATATTGTTCGATCAAATAGAATGACCGATTTACCCTTCCACCAGCCAAATATGCGAGGACAGTTTTAGTAAAAATATAGCGAAAATTAGAAAATATGAGCAGCCTAGAAGGAAGGCCGAAGAATCTGGAATAAGTTGATAACTCTGTGCCATCCTGAGCAGCCGTTCAAGCCGACCACATTTCACTCTCTCATTTCTTCAATTTTCTCTCACAACAAAAAAAAGAAAAATTGGAATTTTTGATCTCTAATTCCTCTTCTTCTTCTCCCTTATAATGGCTACTCCGAGTTGAAAGGGTTTTTTGTTTCTTTTTTGGAATTTTTTCCGGTGATTAGCGTCGTCGGTGATGCTCGGCGTACTGTGTGCACGTCCCAAGCCGTGGCTGTTAGCGTCGCTGTTCTCGTTCCATGCGCACGGCTTGACGGCGGCGGCGCACCATCGGCTGGCGGCGAGTCCAATCCGATCGGTCTTGGTGGCGGAGGGGGACGATCAGCGGCGGCTGCACCACTCCACGAGTTGCAGATTCGGCGGCGGCGCCGAGCGCGAAGGTGGCGCCGCGTCGATATGGCACGCGATTCTCCCCGCCCGCGGCCGGAAGAGTATGTCGAGTAGTAGGGCGGCGGTGTTCCACCGCCACAATTGCGAGCTGACGAAGAAGGGCGGCGAGGGGTCTTGGAATGCGGCGTGGGACGCCAGGCCGGCTCGGTGGCTCCACAACGCTGACTCCGCTTGGCTCCTCTTCGGCGTCTGCCCCTGCTTGGCCGCGCCGCCCCTCTTCGATCTCTCCGAGGTTAACTCCGACGCCGCGGGAGCGGAGGACCAAGTCGACATTCTATCCTCAGATTCATCCCTCCATAGCCCTCCTCCCAATTACAGAGTCACAGGTCTATACACACTCTTTATCAAATTTACAATTTTATTTTTTAATTTTTTTTCAGTTTTCTATTTTTGGATAGTACTTTTAATGTTTGAATGTGATTAAAAATGGATAATAAAAATGACAGGAGTTCCAGCGGATGGGAGATGTTTGTTTAGAGCCATAGCACACGTTGATTGCTTGAGGAATGGGGGAGAGGCTCCTAATGAGAATCGCCAGAGAGAATTGGCTGATGAATTAAGAGCTAAGGTATATTCCTCTTGCTATTTTCTTTTTCTATTTTTGGGTACAAAAATTTATCCATTTTATTATCAGTAGTTTTATGTATTTTGTTTTTGGAATCATATAGACTTGTAGTAGTGATTGATTGAGTAATTTTTATAGGTTGTTGATGAGTTGCTGCAAAGGCGAGAAGAAGCAGAATGGTATGTTTTTTTAGTCTATGTGTGTGTTTTGAGAATGCGCCGAATGTGTGTTTTGAGAATGCGGTAATAATCAGATGGATATGTTTTGAGAATGTGATAATGAAGAATGCGGTAATGAATCAAATGGATATGTTTTGAGAATGTGATAATGAACTGAATGAGTTCGTTTGAGAATGTGATAATGAACTGGATGGGTTCGTTTTGAGAATGTGATAATGAACTGGATGGGTTCGTTTTGAGAATGTGATAATGAACTGGATGGGTTCGTTTTGAGAATGTGATAATGAACTGGATGAGTTCGTTTTGAGAATGTGATAATGAACTGGATGCGTTCGTTTTGAGAATGTGATAATGAACTGGATGCGTTCGTTTTGAGGATGTGATAATGAACGATGCGTTCATTTTGAGGATAATGAACTGAATATATGTGTTTTGAGAATGCGATAATGAACTGAATATATGTGTTTTGAGAATGCGATAATGAACTGAATATATGTGTATTGAGAATGCGATAATAAACTGAATATATGTGTTTTGAGGATGCGATAATAAACTGAATATATGTGTTTTGAGAATGCGATAATAAACTGAATATATGTGTTTTGAGAATGTATGTGTTTTGAGAATGTTATAATGAGATAGATGTGTTAATGATTGCAAATTGCAATTTTGTTTTCTTAGGTTTATTGAAGGAGACTTTGATGCATACGTAAAAACGATTGAGAAACCCTATGTATGGGGCGGAGAACCAGAGCTGCTAATGGCTTCTCATGTACTCCAGTAAGTTTTTTCAATTTTATTCCATTTGGTCAATTATAAGTGTTGTTATTTTAGCTGTATTATTTTGATGTTAGTGGTTATGAATTAGAATAATAGATTAAGATGTGTTGTTAAATAATATAGTCTTTTTTGTTTTGTTTTGTAGGACACCAATTTCAGTGTTCATGATACATATAAGTTCGGGTAGCTTGATAAATATTTCAAATTATGGTGAAGAGTATCAGAAGGATGGAGAAAGTCCCATCAATGTTCTGTTTCATGGCTATGGTCATTATGACATAGTGGAGACTAATATTTTGGAAGAATAATTGCAATCAAACATTTTATTTGCCCCTTCATTAAATGATCATTTTTTAAAGAGTTAGGTTTTTTGAAAATTTTTAGATTTGGTTCTTTTTTGAATTCTTACTTCAAAAACAAATTAGAACTTGAGTGGTTCTTCCTATAATGTTTTGTCAATAAAGCACCATTCTAAAAGCTTTATGGTTTTTGTAATTAAGAATGTGTTTTTGGATGGGAAGAAAATGAAAGTCTTATTGAAGATTTAAATGGAGACTTTAGAATATTAGAAGATTGATTATTGTATGGGATAGTTTCATATGGCAATAAACTAATCATTTTATGGAACATTTGGGAGATTTTAGATTGTTATAGAATTCTAAACAATATTACCGTTTACATTCTGTCTGTATGCATCTTGTCCTTTGATTATTCATTTCTATCTCTTTACCATTCTTATACAATATATAATAATTATCACCATTTTTATTATTAGGAAAAATAACACTTTTAGTTCTTCAATTATTTTACTTTTAAAAATTTAGTTAATGTTAATTGATTTGAATAAATTTAGTCTCTTAATTGTTCATTATGTTACATGGGTAGGTCTTGTTATATAATTATCAAATTCCGTTAGCAATTAAGTTCAAATTTTTATTAGGTTAATTTTGTTATTTAGCATCAATATTCATAATTAAAGTTTTACTCTCTCCATAGGAACATTATTTTTAATAGTGAATATTAATTCTAAATAACAAAAATAATCACATATGTTAATGGATTCTGACAATCATATAATACTAGAGGTTAAAAGTGTAACATTTTGAGTAATTGATGAGCTAAATTTATTAAAATTAATTAAACTTCTAAAATTAAAACAATTTAGGGGCTAAAAGTGTTTTAATTTTGTTCTTATTATCTCTATCTCTATATATATTAAAGCAAAATAATTGTCCCATAAATTTCCTCCAAATGTGAAAACATTTATTGTATTCATATATTAATTTATAAATAGATTCATGCATGTAATTCCGAAAAAATTTCCCTCCAAATGTGAAAATATTTATTGTATTCATATTAATTTATAAATAGATTTATGTAATTCATGTAATTTAACATGTTGAGTAAAAGAAGAATATAATATTAGTTACTATTATTATTATTATTATTATTATTATTATTATTATTATTATTATTATTATTATTATTATTATTATTATTATTATTATTATTATTATATTATATATAGATAGATATATAGATTATAGTAATTATTATAGTAATAATAATAATTTACATACAAAACAAATTTTTCACATACTGAAAGGCGGAATCATGCATCATATTAGCCTTAACGAATTATTATTACTATAATTACTATTTACTATAATAATAATAATAATAATAATAATAATAATAATAATAATAATAATAATAATATACTATAATAATAAATTAGCCAATTTATAAATAAATTCATGAAATTCATGTAATTTAGCATATTGAGTAAAAGAAGAATATAATATTCATTATTATTATTATTATTATTATTATTATTATTATTATATAGTAATATAGTAATTATAATAATAATAATAATAATAATTTGTTATTATGTATAGTGTTTTAATTAAATTAAATTATTTAAATTAAATCACCCTATATATATTTAGTATTACAAATGATCATCCTTAATTAAATTAAATCATCCTTAATTAAATTATTTAAATTAAATCAGTCTATATATTTAGTATTACAAATAATCATTCTTAATTAAATTAGATCATTCTTAATTAAATTAAATCATTTAAATTAAATCAGCCTATATATTAAGTATTACAAATAATCATCCTTAATTAAATTAAATTATCCTAAATTAAATTTAATCATTCTTAATAAAAATATTTAAATTAAATCAACCTTAATTAAATCAAACCTTAATTCAAAACGTAAAATCAGCCTTAATAACAAGTAACAACACAGAAACGCGGAATCATCCTATTAGCCAATAATTATTACTATAATTACTATTACTATTACTATTTATAATAATAATAATAATAATAATAATAATAATAATAATAATAATAATAATAATAATAATAATAATAATAATAATAATATCTCTATCTCTATCTCTATCTCTATATATATTAAAGCAAAATAATTGTACCAAAATTTTTCCCTCCACATGTGAAAACATTTATTGTATTCATATTAATTTATAAATAGATTATGTAATTCCCAAAATTTTTTCCTCCAAATGTGAAAACATTTATTGTATTCCTATTAATATATAAATAGATTCATGTAATTCATGTAATTTAACATGTTGAATAAAAGAAGAATATAATATTAGTTACTATTATTATTATATATATAGATAGATATACAGATTATAGTAATTATTATAGTAATAATAATTCACATACAGAACAAATTTTTCACATACAGAAACGCGGAATCATGCATCCTATTAGACTTAATGAAATATTATTACTATAATTACTATTTACTATAATAATAATAATAATAATAATAATAATAATAATAATAATAATAATAATAATAATAATAATAATACTATACTATAATAACGAATTAGCGAATTTATAAATAAATTCATGTAATTCATGTAATATAACATGTTGAGTAAAAGAAGAATATAATATTGGTTATTATTATTATTATTATTATTATTATTATTATTATTATTATTATTATTATTATTATTATTATAGTATAGTTTTTTAATTAAATTAAATTATTTAAATTAGGAATAAGGTTCAAATTGGCCACTGAACGTAACCTGAAAATGCAATTAGGCCACTGAACGAAAAAAAAAAAGTGCAATTAGGCCACTGAACACTCTAAAAATGTGCAATTTCACCTGATAGCAGGTTACCCTCAATTTTAGCAGGTTATCTGCTTACGTGGCAGCTGAGTTGGCATTTTTAATAAATTTTAATTAATTTTTAATAAATTTTAATAATAACTTTTTATTAAAAAAAATTTTTAAAAAATAAAAACGACTTTATTTTATTATTTATTTCATTTTTTCCATTTTTTTATAAAATTTATTATTAAAATTAATTATTAAAAATTATTTTAAAATTATTAAAAATGCCAACTAAGCTGCCACGTAAGCAGGTAACCAGCTAAAATTGATGGTAACCTGCTATCCGGTAAAATTGCATACGTTTGGAGAGTTCAGTGGCCTAATTGCACATTTTTTGAGTGTTCAATGGCCTAATTGCACTTTTTTTTTTTTTTTTCGTTCAGTGGCCTAATTGCATTTTCATGTTACGTTCAATGGCCAATTTGAACCTTATTCCTTTAAATTAAGTCACCCTATATATATTTAGTACTACAAATGATCATCCGATCCTTAATTAAATTAAATCAGCCTATATATTTAGTATTACAAATAATCATTTTTTAATTAAATTAGATCATCATTAATTAAATTAAATTATCCGTAATTAAATCATTTAAATTAAATCAGCCTATATATTTAGTATTACAAATAATCATCCTTAATTAAATTATTTAAATTAAATCAACCTTAATTAAATCAATCCTTAATACAAAACGTTAAATCAGCCTTAATAACTACACAGAAATGCGGAATCATCCTATTAGCCAATTATTATTACTATAATTACTATTACTATTTATAATAATAATAATAATAATAATAATAATAATAATAATAATAATAATAATAATAATAATAATAATATACTATAATAATACTATACTAACGAATTAGCCTTACAAAACGAATTATTCACATACAGAAACGCGAAATCATGCATCCTATTTGCCTTAACAAATTATTATTACTATAATTACTATGCACGTGTAATTCATGGTATTTTGTCTGAATGGGAATTATTATTCATCTGTTATTATGCACGGGAATCATGCAATAGCTATTAGTATTAGTATTTAGTATTTCATAATTAAATTATTCATTTGTAATTATTTTGCACAAATTCATAGTTATAAATACCTCCTCATTGGCATTGCTTCTCATTCATTTTCAATCCCCTTCCTGTACTTTTCATACGCTAAACTTTTCAATATGGCTCCCACCTTCAATCTACTTAACCAAATCACCGCTACCTCCACGAATTGGGCGATACAAGTTCGTCTAATCTAAATGTACGAGTCAACATTCAACAATAACACCTACAATTCTCATACTTTGGATTGTGTGTTTCATGATTCTGAGGTATATTCGTCACTTTTAGTGTATATATATATATATATATATATATATATATATATATATATATATATATATATTATTTCATAATATATTCAATACAAATATATATTTTTCATAATTTTAGTTTTATAATTCACATGCTAATATGTTTAGTATATGACACATATTCATGTATTTCATATTCTATTATAATATAGATTTCTATTAAATTTTTATGTTTTGCTAATTTAGGGTACGCGTATACATGCAACAATAAAAAAAAGGCTCAAGTTGATTAATTTAAAAAAATCTTTTTTGAGGATCATTTGTACTCCATTAAAAACTTTATCGTTGCAACAAATGACATGAGATACAGAACTACGCACCACAAATACAAGATCCTGTTCATGCATTCTACAAAAGTCTTTCAGTATAACAACAACGACTTTCCAAACATGACATACATGTTGAAAGCTTTCGATCAACTTGGTCCTACCCAAATTAATGCTTCTGAACTATTTGGTAATACTAATTTACGGTCCTCATTTCGTTTATCATTTCAAATATATATATAAATATATATATATATATATATATATATATATATATATATATATATATATATATATATATATATATATATATATATATATATATATATATATATATACTAGCATTTTGTACGCGTGATGCACGAAAACCTATGCCCAATATTAAAATATTATTAAGTAACAAAATTTAAAAAATTAGTTAAAATTATGTTGCAATTCCTTAAAGTGATGATACTTTTGAATTATCATATATTTGAATATAGTGATCAAAATAATATATATATATATATATATTTATATATAGTATGTATGTATATTATTTGTGTATACATATCAATATGTCATATATAATATGACATATTGATATGTATACACAAATAATATACATACATATTATATATATATATATATATATATATATATATATATATATATATATAAAATTTAATATTCATATAAATATTTAATTAAAATATAATTTATAATTAAATTAATTGTTATATGATAATTTTAATAAAATGACAACTAAAAATAGGAAAAATATATGATAGATGTAGGTGTATGGTAAGATTGGTGGATATATT